GTACTTAAATATTTCCCCTTCAGCAGAGCCACAACTGAGAAAGGGACCCCAGCACCCATGAAGTCCTTTAAATGGCAGTATGCCTTACAGGGAGCCCTTGGTGAAAGTTCTTGAATGTAATTTAGGGGAAGGTAAATTATAAGTGAAATCTGGGAACAAGCTTTAGAATCACATGGTATTAACTGGGAGAGGGGGAGAATTGATAAATTATATCTTTATTTAATTACTTTGGAGATCTCTCTTTGAAAGTTTGTTCCCTACTAAGACAGACTTTATTCAGGACTTTAAATATTCAGCATACTAAGTTTTATACAGACTACAACTTTATTCAGTTGTAATAGGTACAGAGACCACTGCAATATGGGCAAGTGGTATATATAGCCAAGAAGCAGATGGGGGTCAGTGTATGGAAAATTACTAAGAGGAACAGCAGGGTTAAAGAGGAATATGGTTAAATCAACTAATAGGAATCTTGCTAAAGATAGCCAGGGTGATCAGACATTACCTCAGAATGCTGGAGGATAAGGAACCTGATCAGATATTAATGGTGATCAGATGTTGAGGGTGGGGTTTCTGGTTAAACTGATTTATTAGCATTCTTGCTAAAACTAGATTTTACAAGGACATTTACAGTGGGCCTCAAAAAATGTTCAGGAGCCTTACTAAACTTTTGAATGTTTATTAGCATCATTAAAAGTATATACATGTATACTAGTCAGGTTGATGTTTGTAGTGTCATGTATTTTTTTGTTTGTTTCATTTTTAAACAGAGGGAAGGTATATTTAACTTTCTGAAGGAAATTTAGCATCTTAGGGAAATTACGTAGTCATATTAACCCTGATAATAGGCTCTTCTGACAAGGAAAAAAGACCTTTACTGCCACCTGATGGCCATATCATCCTGCTGCAACATGTCCAAGAGCAGCCCTAGAAGAAAGTCAAGTGTTTGAACTTGGTGACAGTAAGAGCTGTGAACAACTGTGTCTTTACCCCCAGGTCCCTCTCTCCCAACACTTCAGGTTGAGAATTAGCAGCTCACTAGGGGAGGTGAAAAGGCAAAACAGGGGAGATAGTGACATCCACGCCCTCCTCCTCTGTACAGTGGGTTTCCAAGACTGAAGAGACGAACTGGAGAGGAAAGCTTTGCATCGAGTGGGGTGCTATTGTTACTTTGGGCTGGTCTTTTAAAGGCAAGACAAAGGATCTCTTTGTTTCATGCCTAAGAGTGGTTAGAAAATCCATGGTATTGTTCAGCTTTCATCCAAACGGCAGGGAAAACACATATCCAGGTGGGGGTGCTGAAAGGACCAAGGGAAAAACGAGGGCTTTTTACTTGCCTTCTGTTGCAAGCAGCTCATTCAGTAAATGCATGTCACGGGTGTGTCAGGAGGGAAGAACCAGTGGGAAAGGAAGCATAGGGATCCTGCCAAAGGACAGGCCAACTGAGATGTGTTTGGATCCAGCTTTTCATCTTAAACATGAACAAACTGAGGTTAAAATCAGAGGAGAATTGAAGCCAGGGTAACATTATCAGTGGAGTTAGAAGCCTATTAAAAAAAAAATCTTAAAAAATCCTTCAGTCCGTTATAGCAGAGACATGAGGGGGGTCCATGCCTGGCCCACCTGACCAGACTCTGGCCTGGAGCTGTTTTCTCTTGTCCGCTCTTCCTTTCCCCATGGATCTTTTGCAGGCACTGAAGACAGTTCCGGACCTCCCAGGTGGCGCTGGTGGTGAAGAACCCACCTGCCAATGCAGGAGACATAAGGGACGTGGGTTCGATCCCTGGGTCGGGAAGATCCCCTGGAAGAGGGCATGGCAACCCACTCCAATATCTTGCCTAGAGAATCCCATGGACAGAGGAGCCTGGTGGGCTAGTGGTCCATAGGATCGCAAAGAGTCAGACACGACTGAAGCGACTTAGCGCGCATGCATGCAGCAAGGTGTGGAAGCTGGTTCAGTCCGTGTCTCTTCCCCAGGATTCATCCTCCTTTCTTTTCTATGAACTCTCTGTCTTCTGCCTCTGTAGCTGGAAATAATGCCTATCTTTGAATACTGCCTGGCAGTCGGCTCAGGCTTTCACACCCACTCATCTTCCCCACCCTAGGGAGGCATTGGTACCTCTGTTCACATGGGGGGATCCTGAGAGCAGGAGCTGACTTGCCCATGGAACACCTGGAAGTGCAGGGCTGCCTGGGAACTTGGGTCTTTGGTTTGTGTTCAGGACTCTTTCTGTTATATTTGCTGCCCTAGCCTCTCTACCCTCGATTTCTGGCTTCCCATTTTGGGCTGTGATGACTTTCTCAACTCTTTCTTTTGTTTGTTTTTCTTTTTTAGTGTGAAAGTTTTCAAGATGGCCACAAGTGGAAAATGCACTCCCCCCAGCCAAATAAAACTTCGCCAGACTCCTAACAGCTGTGGGCATCGAAATGACTAACGAAAGGTCCCTCTGCTGCCTGTGGAACTTTCACACGAGGCAGCGTCACTGCTGCTCACCAGGACCAGGCCCTGAGTATTTGCATACTGGGTGTCACTCCAAATGCCCGCAACCAGGGTGTTTCCAGGATGTAATGAGTAAGAATGCTGCTCTGGGCCTTGGAAGGTGCACTGTCTGAGCATCCATACTGCAGGGAGGAGGTGGATAGCATTTCAGACCCTACCTATCTCTTGTCAAGGGCCCTTCTCCTTGAGAGATGTCCAGATTCAGTTGTAGATCCGTCAGTGCCAAACTGCTGCCTGTCAGCTGTGGGATGAGCTGCTGGGAATACCTCGAGGAGGAAGTCAGGGCCCCTGCGTGCCTGAAGTTTGATACCTGGTTAAGGCAAATGAGACAAACACTTGGATAATTTCAGCTCCATTTCAGTATTCATGCCTGGAGAATACTGTGGACAGAGGAGCCTGGCAGGCTATGGTCCATGGGATGTTAAGAATCACAACCTAGCAACTAAACCACCACCATCATAAGGGAGGCTGGGAGGTGCAAAGGCTTCATTTAGACCTTGGACAAGGATTTTAACCTCATGTTTCTCTTCTTCAGTGTTGGGACAATACCTGTAATAGACTGAATTGTGTCTCCCAAAATTCATATATTGGAACCCTCAGCACCAGTGTGTGACTTTGTTTGGAAATAGGGCCTCTAAGGAGGTAATAAGGTTAAATGAGGTCATAGGGTTAACCTATCATAATCCAACAGGACTGAGGTTCTTACAAGAAGAAGAGATACCAGAGACCTCTGTTCTCTGCTTCTTTATCTGTGTGTCTCTGTCTCGCTATCCATGCATGCAACAGAGGAAAAAACCTTATGAGGACACAGAGGGAAGGTGGCTGGCTACAAGCCAGGAAGAGAGAGTTCACTAGAAGCTGAATTGTCCAGCACCTTAAATTCCTGTCATCTCAGCCATCCCATATCTGGTATATTATGGCAATCCTAGTACAAGGATACCATACCATCTGTTGGGTCTATTATGGGAATGGAACATAATGCAAGAGGAAGCCCTAACAGTCATCTGCATCTATTAGCTCCATCCCTTCCCTTTTGTCATGTGATTTGTGGGCTGGTAAAGGGCCTGTTTGCCACCAAACATTTTCCTGGTGGCCTGGATAATTCATATGGTAGAATCACTTCTGTGGATTCAGGCTTGTTTTCTCCACATTGTAAGTAATAGAACCTTCCAAAACTAATATGAAGTAAAAGGGGAATTTTTTGGAACTAACTGTTATCAATTAGGGTTCCTGGTTTTAAGCAGCACACAGTAATTCTGGTTGGTCAAGGCCACAAAAGAACTATCGAAAGGATGCTGAATCAAGTATAAGATTTTCAGGAAGGCTGGAGACCTAAGTGTGAGGCCTCACCAGGCAAAGGTAGAGTGGTGTGAGGACCACAGGCTTATACTGCTCGGCACGGGCCACTGCCACTCACTCCTCCAGCACCCCGAGCACTGGGCTGGACTGCATGAGCACTGCTGGCCCGTCTTCCGGAGTGGATGTGCCTCTGGGCCCTGCAGTTCAGGAGCCGTGCTCTCCTTTGGCTTGTATCACCCAGCTGCATTCTGGCATCAAGGAAGGCTGGGAATGTGAGCATTTGGCATTTTCCTCATTGACAGTGGAGGGTGGCTCTGCCTCCCACCAAGATTCATAATGTAGGGAACTTCCCCAAACAATAGAAGAAGGTTCAGCTTGCCAGATGGCCAAAAAGAATGAGAAGTTCCCCAACAGATACAGGAGAATCTTACAGACCCCCAAAATAGGGAGAGCAGCTTCACTCGTAGGGCCAAGAACCAGGAATTAGGAAGTCAGGAGCCAGGTTACTCTGGGTGTGTCTCCCTGTACTATTTCTCTCTCTCTCTCTCTCTCTTTCTTTGAAGACTGGGTTTTCCAGTCTACTTGCTCATGGTGAGGGCCAGCTTCATCCTCACCATTGGGAGTTAGTTGCCCGTCTCCTTCAGAACATCCATTTCCTTATCTTCCAGAAACAGGTCCAGATTTTCTCATCTGTCCATTCTTTGTCTGGGTGGAGTCCATCCCCAGCCCGAGGGCTGAACCATACGACCCAGGTCCAAGACTCATAGTGCTCCATGGCCACAGCGATTGATCCAGGGGTGGGTATATGATCTAAGCCTGGTACTTCTTTAATAACTGAACTATAGGTTACATGCTGTGAGCGTGTCAGTCTTCAGTGTACAGCTCAATGAACTGTATACATTTATACATCCATGGAACCATCACCAAGATGGAGTTGTAGAATGTTTCCAGCAGCCCACGATGCTTCCTTACAGCCACTCTGTCAGTATGCCATCCAGATAATCACTATTCTGACTTACATTACCACAGATAGAGTTTTGCCTTTTGTGAACTCTATTTACATGGAATCATAGGGTATATGATCTTTGGTGTCTGGCTTCTTTAATCAAGATTACATCTGTGAAATTCATCCTTTTTGTTGTTGTTTTTTGTTTTTTACAGAGTATTCATTCTTTTTCACACCTGTGTGGTATTCCATTAGATGAATCATACCTCAGTGTATTTATCCATTCTACCACTGGTTGACATTTGGGTTGTTTCTGGTTTGAGTCTATTAAATGATATTGCTCTGTATTTTACTGTATATATCTTAGTGGAGATAAGCATTCATTTCTTTGAGTATGTATCAAGAGTAGAATTTCTAGGTCATGGAAAAAATGCACATCTTCAGTTCAGTTCAGTTACTCAGTCATGTCCGACTCTTTGCGATCCCATGAACCACAGCACACCAGGCCTCCCTGTCCATCACAACTCTCAGAGTCTACCCAAACTCATGTCCGTTGAGTTGGTGATGCCATCCAACCATCTCATCCTCTGTCATCCCCTTCTCCTCCCGCCCTCAATCTTTTCCAGCATCAGGGTCATTTAAAAAGAGTCAGCTCTTTGCATCAGGTGGCCAAAGTATTGGAGTTTCAGCGTCAACATCAGTCCTTCCAATGAACACCCAGGACTGATCTCATTTAGGATGGACTGGCTGGATCTCCTTGCAGTCCAAGGGACTCTCAAGAGTCTTCTCCAACACTACAGTTCAAAAGCATCAGTTCTTCAGTGCTCAGCTTTCTTTATAGTCCAACTCTCACATCCATACATGACTACTGAAAAAACCATAGCCTTGACTAGATGGACCTTTGTCGGCAAAGTAATGTCTCTGCTCTCTAATATGCTGTCTAGGATGGTCATAATTTTCCTTCCGAGGAGTAAGTGTCTTTTAATTTCATGGCTGCAATCACCATCCGCAGTGATTTTGGAGCCCAAAATAAAGTCAGCCACTGTTTCCCCATCTATTTGCCATAAAGTGATGGGACTGGATGCCATGATCTTAGTTTTCTGAATGTTGAGCTTTAAGCCAACTTTTTCACTCTCCTCTTTCACTTTCATCAGGAGGCTTTTTAGTTCTTCTTCACTTTCTGTCATAAGGGTGGTGTCCTCTGCATATCTGAGGTTATTGATATTTCTCCCAGAAATCTTGATTCCAGCTTGTGCTTCTTCCAGCCCACCGTTTCTCATGATGTACTCTGCATATAAGTTAAATAAGCAGGGTGACAATATATAGCCTTGATGTACTCTTTTTCCTATTTGGAACCAGTCTGTTGTCCTGTGTCCAGTTCTAATTGTTGCTTCCTGACCTGCATACAGGTTTCTCAAGAGGCAGGTCAGGTGGTCTGGTATTCTCATCTCTTTCAGAATTTTCCACAGTTTATTGTGATCTACATTGTCAAAAGCTTTGACATAGTCAATAAAGCAGAAATAGGTGTTTTTCTGGAACTCTCTTGCTTTTTCAATGATCCAGTGGATGTTGGCAATTTGATCTCTGGTCCCTCTGCCTTTTCTAAAACCAGCTTGAACATCTGGAAGTTCACGGTTCACATATTGCTGAAGCCTGGCTTGGAGAATTTTGAGCATTACTTTACTAGTGTGTGAGATGACTGCAATTGTGCGGTAGTTCATTCTTTGGGATTGCCTTTCTTAGGGATTGGAATGAAAACTGACCTTTTCCAGTCCTGTGGCCACTGCTGAGTTTTCCAAATTTGCTGGCATATTGAATACAGCATTTTCACAGCATCATCTTTTAGGATTTGAAATAGTTCAACTGGAATTCCATCACCTCCACTAGCTTTGTTCGTAGTGATGTTTCCTAAGGCCCACTTGACTTCACATTCCAGGCTGTCTGGCTCTAGGTGAGTGATCACACCATCATGATTATCTGGGTCATGAAGATATTTTTTGTACAGTTCTTCTGTGTATTCTTGCCACCTCTTTCCCATTCTATTATTTTCCTCTATTTCTTTGCATTATCACTGAGGAAGGCTTTCTTATCTCTCGTTGCTATTCTAATATCTTTAGTGGGTATTATCAAATAGTTTTCCAAAGTGATTGTACCAACTTATACATCTACCAGAGTATATGAAATTTATAGTTGCTCTATATACTTACTTATTATTTTCAGCCTTATAAATTGTAGTCACTTTGAATAGGTATCATGTTATCCATTGCAGTTTTAATTTGTATCTTCATAGTGATGAACACTTTCATATACTCTTTGGCCTTTGGATGTCCTGTATTGTCAGTTGGTTGTTTAAGCTTTTGCCAATATCTGAAAAACAATGAGTTCTTGGTCTTTTATTTATGACTGATTTCCAGCAATTCTTTATATATTTTGGATATTAATCAAGTATTTGCTTGATGCATATATTGCAAATACATTCACCTAGCCCATGGCTAACATTTTAACTTCTTTAATGATGTCTTTTTAGGAACAGAAGTTCAATTCATTAATCTTTTCTATGGTTAATGTTTGCTCACTCTGGAATCATGAGTTAGCAACATTTGAGGATTGTTGTTTAGTTGCTAAGTCTGACTTTTTGCAGCCCCATGGGCTGCAGCACGCCAGGCTTCCCTGTCCTTCACTATCTCCCACAATTTGCTCAAACTCATGTCCATTGAGTCAGTGATGTTGTCCAACCATCTTATCCTCTGTTGCCTCCTTGTCCTCTTGCCTTCAGTCTTTCCCATCATCAAGGTATTTTCCAATGTGTTGACTCTCTGCATCAGGTGGCCAAAGTGTAGGAACTTCATCTTTGGCATCAGTCCTTCTAATGAATATTCAGGATTGATTTGATCACTGGTTTTGATCTCTTGCAGCCTAAGGGACTCTCAAGAGTCTTCTCTAGCATCACAATTTGAAAGCATCAAATTCTTCAGCACTTAGCCTTCTTTATGGTCCAACTTTTGAGGGAGGTAGAGATAAATGGTTCCTTCTTTCTTTGAATTTGAGGTTGTGCGGAGGTGAGGCTGAGTCAAAAATGGAGGCAGAAAGACTTGCAGGGCTGGTATTGAGGTGGGAGAGGGTCAGAATTAGGCCAGTCTGAGTCTCCTAGGAACTGTTCACTATGTTTGTGGCTGAAATCAACAAGTGAGCTGAGAGAATGTGGCAGGGAAATTGGTGTCTAAAAAGATTCATTTAAGTCTTCTTTAATACAGTATTTACTGAATGGGTATTCAACAATGGGACACTCACTGGGTGGGGCTTATATTCTGAAGGATTTTTGAAATTACATAAAAACACTTTCTTACAGATTTAGAGAACCCAGGTGAAGAATGATAAATAATCTGTCATCATAGCTAGGGCAGAACCACCACTAAACCAGAGCTATAGCTGAAACAGGGGTCTCCTGGATTAAGTCCTCCCTAAGGAAATGGAAAGTGAGATCCTCTGTGGTCTGCAGTAGCGGAGACTTTAGGAAGCCCACACGAGTCAAAGGGCCAAAGCAGGCCAGTGTCAGCAGGGGGAAGTCATAGGGACTTCCCCCAAGTCCTTCCTGTCAAAGAAATAAGCATTAGAGACTTTCACAAAGGAAAAAAACACCCCAAGGACTATTCCCAACTGGGGAAGTGTCTCTTAGTGGGACTGCTACCCCTTGAGTTTTCCTCCAGGACAATGGGCTTCATCTTTCAGCCCCAGGAATCTGGGATTTAAAGCAGGATCACCCAGCTTCAAGCAAGTCCTCAGCCAACGCTCAGTTCCAAGGAGCACCAGGCGGGCAGCAGAGGGGAAGTGATGGACTTTTGGATGCCTTTGAATATGTGGATGAAGTGGAGGCCAGTGACATAGTGAACTGGTGACTCCAGGAGGCCTCTTCTGATCTCTGCTCCTGCGTCCAAGTTTCCCTAAATTGAATATAAGAACCAACTCTACAAGGGCTCACTTAGAGGTGCTCATAACTGTTAAAGCATCATTAGGGTCTTTATACTGACCACATCCCTTCACAACAAACATCTTTTGAATGTTCCCCCACACTATTAGAAGAAGGCAGTGGTTCCTAAATTCAGTTGGGTGGACTGGTGGCAGGCTGGACTGGTGGCAGGTATAAGAATCACACTGTGGGTCTTGCCTTGGGCCTAGGAGTTTATGATTTTAATAAGCCCTCCAGGTGATTATGATAAACAGATGATTCAGAAACTCATTTTGCTATTTTTGGAGTTTGGGATCCGACAGATCTAGGTTTCAATCCTGGCTCTGTTTTACCACTTAAAAATTGAATTTCCTTGCACACAAATAGCCTCTTGGACTAGTTTTCCTGTCTATAAAGTGAGTGATAATAATAACGCCTGCCTCACAGTGGTGTTATGGAGTGAGTGAGGTGTTGTGAAGTGTCAGCATGTGAAGCTGAAGTACAGGGTTGACCACTCAGTAAGTCATATTAATATTCACCATGATTTTTATTTATCTTCATTATTATTTTGCTTGTGTATCTGATTTCACCTTTTCTCTCCATGATTGTGTCTTCTTTTTATGCCCTGACTATTTTGCTTAGTTACATAAGAGTGCTCATACTAAGTTTTACTTAATACACACAGAACAAAGTACACATTATTATTTTGATTTATAGATGAGGAACGGAGAAGGCAATGGCAGCCCACTCCAGTGTTCTTGCCTGGAAAATCCCATGGACGGAGGAGCCTAATGGGCTGCCGTCTATGGGGTCGCACAGAGTCAGACACGACTGAAGCGACTTAGCAGCAGCAGCAGCAGCAGCAGCATAGATGAGGAAAGAGGTACAAAGATGTTAAGTAATTTGTCCTAAATCACATAATCTCCAGGTGCCAGAGCCGAAGTCTAATGCAGAACAATGGGATTCCTATAGCCAAGAAGGGCAAAGTTGAGTCATCCCTTTGTATCCACAGAGCATTTCATCCTTGGGTGCTCACACCACTTGTAATTGGCCCTCTGAGTCTATGGATTCTGCATCTGCAGATTCGACCAACCAACCAAAGATGGAGTATTTTTACAGCAGTGGGAGGAGACACTATCTACTCTCACCCTTCTTCAAGGCTTCATTATTATATGTTTTGAGTATTTGCATAATGGTAAAGAAGCTCCATGGATTCCTCAGTGCACTTTAAGTTTTACCAGCTGAACCCTTCCCCACAAAGGGGAAGCAGATTGATGAAATAAATGAAGGCTGGTCTCCATCACCTGGCTAACCAGAGGAGGCTGCTGATCAGCAGCACTGGCACAACCATGTTAGAAAGCTCAATTGCCTGCAATCCCAGTTGAAACCTGCATTTTAACAAGGTCCCCAGGTTGAAATCTGACAGGTACTAAGAGGAGGCAGAACCGTCGTGTGGAGTAAAAAGCCTGATCCAGGTAGCAGGGTTCACATGCTTGCACAGTTGCGCTATTTTCCTGATTGAGGGAGTTGGAATTTCTAGGTGAAAATGCCTCACCCTCAGTGAGGAGGAAAGGGCTGCTATACTTAGATGGGAGTGTGTGTTGGAAGTTTATCCCTGCTACATCCATCATGCAGGAGTAGATGGGCTCCTGCCATTATTTTTATTCACATCCCGTGGAGTCCTGCCGACATCATT